TTTTTTTTTTTTTTTTTCATTTCACAAGTCTCTCTCTCTCTCTCTCTCTCTCTCTCTCTCGTTTAGAAGATTCAACAAATTATATTCTCAATAATTGGCCATTTGACCGTTGAAATGATGGCAAGCCCTTGCATAAGAATAGTTTGTTGAATTGAATTCCATTAAACTATGATATCCTCGTATCCCTTTAAGTCAAAATATGACAATCAAGGTGATGTCTTTTGGCCTTGGAGTCATGACATATTCCATGGCTTGATCTTACCTAGATAAAGCTGCTTGGTAACTGCAAACCCCACCTAATTAACTCCTCAAATAACTACTGTCTAGATCAGCCCTTCAACTTTTATGAAGGAACCCTTATGTGGAACCAACTAAATCCAAATCTTTAGTATTTTCCTTTTTTGTTTTTTTCTTTTATTTGGGTGAAATGGGATCCTATTTTTCTGCTTAATGATAAAACAAATTGTTAGTGATGTTTCCATAAAATGTGTTGCAAGAATTTGGCATATGACTTCCTTCAATACCTAAACCCTAGAACCAAATAAGCTAAAAAAAAAAATAACTCTCTCCAATTTTATATATCCTGTTGATTCATACTATAGTTTTTTTATCCTTTCGCTTCACACTATATTCGAAATTGTTATTAAATTATATGTTTTTCGTTCTTTTTCTTCTTATTCATGGTTCATATTCTTACTAAGAAAGAATAATCAAATTGATTTCGTGGATTTCCCCAGGTCAGTTTTTGGAGGCAAATAAAGAGATTTTTATCTTAGTTTTTTTTTTCACACCTTTTGATTTGGATGGAAGTGTTGCTTTTAGTTAATAGAAAGAAAAAGCTATTCATTTCTAACTCAAATTTTTTTTGTGTTAGCATTTTTTTTTTTATATGGTGATTACAATAACGCGTTTTTATTGCACCAGTTTCTAATTGCACTAAATATTTTTTTATCTTTCGGGTAATTATATTACCATTACATAATTTATTAAGTGCACCACATTATATTCACACCACAATTAAGGAGGTGTTTGGTAGTGATTTG